GCATACTTCCGAGGTTGCTAAAATGAGTGATGATGATGATATTTATTCAGTCCTTAAAATGTATTAAATTCACATGACAAGGAGGAGGACAAGGAAGGATGGGCACCGCATCGAGCTTCAGCCTCTGTCTGAAAGGGAAAAAGCTCGGCAGAGGTTCCCCTCCCTGCTTGGTGGAGCTCCTCCTTGGGGTGTGTGTGTTGCTGTTGTGTACGTTAACTCCCCCAATCACAGGCTCCTTCTAACTTATGTTTAAGCTGGTTTGCGGTTTGACAAGGTTGAGAGTTCAATCCCAGCCAAGGTCTCAGGCTAGACTCAGGCTTGCATCCTTCCAACGTTGCTGAAATGAGTAGTAATAATAGTAATAATAATAATAATTTATATCCTGCCTCTCTGTGCAGCACAACTGGGGCGGCTTGCCCGATAAAATACACAATCCCATATCCCACTTATGTTAAAACTGGTTTGCAATTTGACAAGGCTGCAAATTCAGTACCAGTCAGGGCTCAGGCTCCACTCAGGCTTGCATCCTTCCGAGGTCACTAAAATTAATTATCATTATTATTATTTATTTATTTATTTATTTATATCCTGCCTCTCTGTGCAACACAACCAGGGTGGCTTGCACACTAAAATACACAATCCCATATCCCAATAACTCACCCACCCCTTAAAATACATTTAAACAGTGTACAGATTAAGCCATACCTAAAAACAATAACAGCTTGTTGGGAGCTATTAGCTTACAGTTGTAAACTGCTTAGAGATTGCATAGCGTGGTATAAAGCAGTATATAAATGAAGCTGCTATTGCTATTGCTATTGCTATTGCTATTGCTAAGTGAACTTTTATCCCAGTGGGGCACCAGCATCAGTCACCCTGGCTCTCCTTTTCTCTGTGCAGGTTGTTGTCATTGTTGTGAACTGCTGTGAAATCAGCTCCCACTTAATCTTGATCCTCGGAAGGAGAGGCTGACTTCCAAAGCACCCATCCTGTTGTCATCAACAGCCCTGATCGGCTCCTGCAGACTCAGCGGGCTGCAGTTTCCTTGATTAAAGTTGCATGTACATGGCAGAATTCATGCAGTTTGACATCACTTTATATGTATAGCTCAGTGCTGTGCGATTCTGGGGTTTGTAGTTTTGTGAGATACTGAACCTCTGTCAGAGAGCTCTTGGTACCACAGTGAACTACAGATCCCAGGATCCTATAGCATGGAGTCATGGCAGTTAAAGCACTGTCAAACTGCATTAATTCTGCAGTGTGGCAGCATCCTAAGCCTATCCACCTGCAGTACAGTCTTAATCTTCCTCCCACTCTCCTATGCTTTATTGACTTTTCTAAGGAGGCATGTTGTGTCATGGTAGGGCAGAAGTACAATAGCCTCCGTTTGATCATCTTGGCTTCCAGGGAGAGGTCAGATTTAATTTGCTCTAGGACCCATTTATTTCTTCCTTTGACAGGCTATGGTATCTGTTGAACTGACCTCCAACACCACATTTCAAATAGCTGATTCTCATCCTGTCAGCTTTCTTCACTGTCCAGCTTTCACAACCATACCTAAAAATGGGACACACAATCTGTGCATGAGTGAAGCCCCAATTCAATGTGGATTACTGACTGTAATCCAGCAGTAGTGCCACTTACAGACCAGATGACATGCACCTCAGGCCGATGTACTAGAGAGAGACAGCATTTCAAAAACTGTTCTAGGCTTTGTGGGTCTCTCAGGGCAACCCTTGAGGTATCTTCCAACTCTTTGATTTTGTGACTTCCAAAGTGGGCAACTGTGGCAAGACTAATGTGTGTATGTGTGTGTGTTGGGGGGTACTTTTCTGTTCTTGGCCACTTCCAAGGGCCACAGAGATGCCAAAAGAGAAACAACTCTCCCCAAAGGCCAGAACTTCTTGTTTTGAAAAATACGTATTTTTGATCTTGTGGAAATTGGTATTTTTGATGTTGTATTTTTGATGTCGTGGTGGCTGCAAGGTGAAATGGTAAATTGAAAAGGTTGATCCCAGAGAAGCAATTCAGCCTTGTTGGGAGTAGCATCAGAAAAAGACAAGCTCAGGGCCTGGGCTTGAGCTTCAAAGGCCTCAAAAACAGCCTTGGGAGTGTGATGTAGAGGTTTGAGCATTGGACTACGGCTCTGGAGACCAGGGTTCAATTCCGTGCTCTGCCATGAAACCCATTGGATGACTGTGGACAAGTCACACTCTCTCAGCCTCAGAGGATGGCAACGGCAAACACCCCATCCCACCCCCCATGAAGAAGCATGCCAAGAAAGCGCCATGATAGGTTTGCCTTAGGATTGCCATAAGTCAGAAATGATTTGAAGGCACACAACGGCAGCAGGACCCCAGAGCGACCAGTTGTCCATTCACAACATAGAGCTTGAGAACAGAAATGACTGTTCTCCATCATTTTTGTGGCTTTCTGTGTATTTAAGTTGGCTTTCTGTTGATTGACATGCTCACTATGCTTTCAAGTCTTTATCACAGAAGTAATTATTGCTTAACGTACCTATTCCTGATTCTTCACTGACATTTGTTTAAAAAAAGAAACTTAGAAAAATGTTTCATGGAAATAATTAGATGGTAATCATCATCCAGGAAATCAAGCATTGCCAGCAGGCTGTGAGCTGCCATCTTTTTCTCTCTTGATGGTGGTTTTCTAGACAATCTATAACAGATTCTTTCTTTCTCTTTCTCTTTTTTCTTTTTTTCTTTTTTTGGTGAAAAGGAAGGGAGATAAGCTGATTTTAAAAGGCCAAGTTTCCAGATTTTTTTTTCTGCCTCTGTGAATCAGATTTATTTATACTCCAGGAACCAAGACCCACACCCAGCATGTACATGCACAGGGCTACATTCTGTTGTTAATACCTGAGAAGAGTAGAACAAAAGAATTATTTGGATCTACTGATGTGTTGACTTGCTATTCAACAATTAATTCATTAGGTCTCCTCTAGTTGGTAGAATCCTCTACCCACAGGATTCTAGCAGCGTTTCCTCCAGAGGTCTTGGTGTTACAGTAATTGTGCATCTGGCTTGTGGGGGACTTTACCGATTCTGCCTGTTCAAATTGAAGTGTGGAATGCCTGTATAAGGCGATTTTGGGAATTTAAACTAAGTTAGGGAATGGGCTTTGGATGCTGTGTGGAGATGGGAATATCAACCCCTGCAGTATCTCAAAAATCAGATCTACATGCATAAGGGACATGTATGTCTGCAGATGTCACAACCAGACATGGTCTACCAGGTTGTATCTCAGCCATGGTATGTTAAGGGAAAGGTAATCTCTATCTGAAGGGCCATAGTTCATATAACTATAAGTGCACAGTAAGAACTGTGTAGTGTAGTGTAGTAATTCTGCATGTATACCTATTCTAAGCTGAGCCATATATCAGCCCAGCATGGCTTAAGGAGAGCAGAAAGGATCAGAGATGTATCTGGCTGTGTCCCTGTAGCTAGATGCAAAATTATTACAGAAGCACCGAAATCTGCTGGAGTCCTCTGGAGGTCTCAGCACTGCTATAATCATTTTGCATCTGGCTACAGGGGCATAGCCATATGGTTTTCTCATCCTTCTTGTTTTCTTTCAGGCACAGAACAGCCATGTTGTGGGGTGGAGTCCTTTCAGAGGTTGTATGGTATCGTCTAGCGAGAGCTTGAAGTACTGCAGAGTTTTGAAGGAAATGCTAACCTGCACAGTGTCCCAAAAAGGATGCAGTGTACAAAACATAGTGTACACATAGCATCCTTAAATAGATAAGCTTTTAATTCTAGCATTATTAGTTGTTATTTAAATCAATCCTACATCCCCTCAGCATAGTGTAAGTACCTGTGTGCAGATCTATGCTGTGCTGAGCAGTTTTAGAGAAGGGCCTGGCTGTATCTCCAAAGCCAGATGCAGAATGAGCACAGCAGCACTGAGATATCTGGAGGACCCCAGCTGATCTCAGCACTGATATCATTATTTCACGTTTGGTGTTGGAGATACAGCCAAATGCTTTGCTGAGCCTACTTGCCTGCACAAAAGCACAGAACAGCCATGTAAAGTGGCTTCGAGTTTTTTTTTAGTAAGTGGGAAGAGCTTTGGGTGCTGTGTAGGGAGGAAAGGAATATCAACATCCCCTCAGTATTCGAAAAAGGACGTTGGCATGCATAAGGTAAACTTACACATGTGGATGTTCCTAACAAAATTCCAGTCAAGGTGTTCCTTCCAGGTACAATTGGAGAAAAATATGAAAACCATTGTTTTGATATTAACTGGTACTTGGTCATATGTCCTGATGTTCTTATGAGACTACAGTCCCAATTTGTTAGTTGAGCAGGGAAGCAAATCTCAGAGTCCTGCCTTCCTCAGGTTGATATTATTATTCTTCCAGTTGTGATTATTATTACAGGTCCCTTTGGGTGAAGCTGGTTTCCCTCTGCTGACTTTCCATGTGGTTCAGCCATCCTCAGAGAAAGACAACAAGGATTAATTAGCATCCTATCTCCTTTCAAAGCATGTAGTACCCTCAGGAGACACTGATTATTTGTCAGGTGAAACAGTGCACTTTTTGCTGGTTGCTGCAACAGCCTCTCAACAACATGTTTTAACCATTGCTCAGGAGGTAAAGCCAAGAGATGGGCCAGATTGGAAAATGATATGACTGCACCTCTTGCATCAAAGGAAGGTAAGCAGATGGAAATTCCTGCCCAACCCCTTAAAATGGGTGGGCAAAGGGTGGCCACCAAAGTCCCCAGACCCTCCAGATTTTTTTTTAAAAAAAGGGCAGTTATTTTTGTTTAAAAAGACACTCAAAATGGGTCAAAAATGCTGCAAACATGCTGCAGTTTTGTCCCTCACTACCTACATACCCCAAAATCTTTTTTAAATAGAAAAAAAATAATTCAAAATGAAACCAGAAGTGACATGTCTGGTCATGTCAAGTGCACCAGTGTGACCTGCCTAGGGTGTGTAAAAATGCCCCATGCACCCCTCTGTAATTGTCAAAGCTTGTCTTAAGAAGAAATCAGGCAAGAAGGCAAGACACTAGTGGAGTGTTAATGGGGTTAAATGGCAGTGGGGATCTTCAAATGTGTATGTATCACATCCAGAGAGACTTTCTGGGCATATTCATCACAACTGCAAAGTGTGTATGTGTTTGGTGGTGTTGGGGAGGACTAGTGCAGGGATCCAAACGTACTGAGACAATAGTGAAAATTACCATCTTGACTGGCAAGGGGCCTCTTTGGCAGAGAAGGCTAAAGGCCTTGTAAAACTGCAAATCCCAGGATTCCATAGGATGGAAGTACAGCACTTACAGTGGTTCAGACCACATTATTTCTACAGTGTAGATGCATCCAGAGGCAGTGGCAAGGACCACAGTGAGCCCAGCTATTGTTTTGAATGCCCACTGGACCAAAGGCATTTGTGTTTGTGTGTATAAACATGACTTGGAAAATTGCCAGCGCACAGGCAATTTTCCTGGTCCTCCATCCCATCATGCCTTTTTTCCTGCATTCAGATCAGCCCGCTGTTTTACTTCATTGCCTTCAAGTAGAGCTTCAAGCATTACATGCAAGAAGAGCTTCTGAAGAAGGAGAAAGAGGAAAATGAAGAGCTGTCCTGCTCTTCATTCGCCTCCGTTCTGCCAGGGCAAGAAAGGAGGGGAGAGGGCAGGTAGGATCAGTTAGCTTCAAACACAGACACAAACAACTCAAACACAAATTCTTATTTTTTAAAAATAAAATATGTTTTATTTAATCTTTGGGAAAATAAATAAAAGCGCATCTTTGTAACAGCCAGTTCTTTTACTGACAGACCTGAATTTATGAATTAAACCTGCAAGTGAGGACATTTCCAGCCATCAATTCAGTTATTCCGGAATATCATGATAAACCCACAACCATCCATTCTCCGAGCACTGTGTGAAAAGAGTCCTCTCACTTTGTTGGGATGACTATTCAAACTGATCATATTTCCAGAGGTTAACACAGACTCTGTATTCTTAGAGGACTGGGAATACAAATGGGATGGGGGATCCCACCCTTATCTGCTAGTCTCAAACCAGCAATAAGATCAAGATTCCCTCATCTGCAGTTTGCTTCCTTAACTAGAAGCACGAGCTGTATGTGTGGGGGCGTCTCTCCAACATGGGTTGAGCACCCCCAAGCCCCTGAAGGGCTGATCATGGCTGTCTCCTGGGATGGATTGGGGTCCCCACCTCTGCCCTAGAGTAAGGAAAACAGGACAGGAGTCCTGAGCTAGTTCAGGAACCTATTTGTGTGCATTGCCTTAAGTTTTTGCCCCCAGATGTAGTCTTGATGTAGGTCCCATAATTGCCATTCTTAGTGCCAAAAAAGGGTCCTAATAACCCAAAAGATCACTTGTTGGCAATAAAAATCATAGAATCATAGAGTTGGAAGAGACCACAAGGGCCATCCAGTCCAACCCCCCTGCCATGCAGGAACTCCCAATCAAATGGCAAGATATGAGGTCTCCAATTTGGATTGGAATCTCAATGGGAGGCAAACTTTTTTTCAGATAGCCTATTCCTTAATAGCCTTTATATTAATTATTCTTCTTTTTAAAAGTATCATGCTAAAAAGTCCTCTGCATCAATTGTAGGCCTTGATCTGTTCTCAGTTGGTGGCAAAGTGTCAAAAGTATCAGTGAGGTCTGTGAAGTTTTTCAGACATTCTATAGATCCAGAAACGCTGTCATTAAAATAGTGCCAAAGCCTAGGATTCATATTCTTGGATGGGAGGGGTTTACTTTCAGATGAGGAAAATGCTTCCTCTTCTGTTGCTTTCATGCCCTGCCAGAAGCAAGTGGTTGGTGGCACCATCACTAACTAAATACAGTGAGAAATAGGATGCTGGTCTAGCTGGCCCATTGTTCTTCTGCGCCAGCAGGGCATTCTTGTGTGTTCTGCCTTCAGCAAGTGTCATATTTCATTTGAGTATCTTAACTACAGATCCTGTTAGTCAATATGAGTAGAAGCTTCCCTGCAAATCAAAATTTCCAAATATTCACAGAATCCATGGAATTGTTATAAAAGCCATCCCATTAAGCTTCATGAGTGAAACAGAATGAGACTCATTTAAAAAACCAGAGATCTTGAAAATAAGAGTCAAGTCAAATCTCACAATCTGCTCTCCTGAACAGCAGTGGATTCCTCCCCCTTTTTGG